CTGCCCGCGGTCCCTGAAGCCCCCACGGGCTGCCGTGAGGCCACGGGAAAACGCTGCCGGGTCGTGTCCGAGCCCGAATTATACCCCATAAAAGCAGCGCTGGAGTGAGGTGAACCGTCCGTCAGTGCTGAGGGATGCTGATCTGTGCACAGTGTGTGCCGAAATGGCTGTTTGGGATGGCAGCGCTTCCAGAGGCCGTTGAGTGGAGCAGGACGAGCTCTGAGGGCAGCGGGAAGGTGCCCATGATGTGTGGGACAATGTCAGAGGAAGAGGATGGCGTTAGGGACGGCTGGGAAGGCAACCAGGGTAATAAATATTATAATATATGTTAATCGTCAGCTAAACCAGCCGAACTCAAAACACTGCTGCTGAATCACATAGGATTATGATTTACCCAGTAATCTGGGAGCAGTGCAATTGTCCACAATTCCTTGAGGAAATCAGCAAAGTTATCACACACAGGTAGAGCCCTCACAAATTCAAACAAGGTGAAGCATGTGGCTCTGAGGCTGTGAAGAGTTCCAGACCTCAGCATTCAGCTTAAACAGCCTTTTACACTGAAAATTACCAAAGTGACTGAATTAAATATGAAAACTTTGGCAGTGAAACTTGAAATTGAAAGTTTGATGTTGAATGTTTGACGTTGAAATGGAATGTTTGGCATTGAAATGCTCTCACGTGGCCAATAAGATGTATCTCTAGACATTCATGAGGGAGAATTTGGGTGGATCTGATGGAAAGCCAAGGAGGATGTTGCCTGCCTAACCCAAAAGGATGGTAGAAGGTGAAAAGAAGAAAAAAATAACTGAACATGGGTTGCTGCAAGTTGGATCCATTTTTCTTGATGCCTACAGTTCCATTGGCTCAGCTTGTTTACATGCTTAAGTAAACTTATTTTTGTGAACAAATAAAGACACAACAGCTCTGCCCTCATCTGCTTCGACCTTGCTGGCTGTAGCCACAATGGACATTTGTTGACATGCAGCAGAATAATCTGTGACTTCAATTTGATATTAAAGCAAGAGTTGAAAAGATTCTCAGCCAGCAAAATATGTCACACTAGTTCACCAACTTCACTGGGGCAGGAAAAAGTAAAGAAAAGGTGAGAAAGTACTTGTAAGGAGTGAAAAATGGTTTTCCCCTTGCTTTTGACCAGGTTTCCCCCTAGTTTCACACATTCACTTCTAGTTTATTAATAACATGGTTTTGTTGATAGTGTAAATTGCCTTTAATGTTAAATTCAAAATGGAAATTTTGAAATATTTATTAATTATTTTTAAATTTAATTTTAAAATTTGTATTATTTTAAACGTATTTTTTAAACTGAGTTGTTTATTACGGTATTCAAGTACGTTTATGGAAACTCACATTCCATACTAATAGTTCTAAATCACCATATGTTTTCAAAGCCACCAGTGTATTTCCTACTTCGTTTTATTCCTTTTTTTTTTTTTTTTACTGTGCTCTTTGCCTCAATTCCATCTTGTGATAGTGAAAGGTTTTGCCAGCGTACACTTTTTAATATCCTGTACAATATATAAGTAGTTTTACTGATTTAATGGAATTGTTTATACTGCACTGTGCTCACCAGGGGGGGATGTAAAAACTAATTCTTACCCAACTGTTTTAATTACCAGCAGTTTCATAAGCTCTGGAATGAGGACAGACATTCACTGGGAAGTAGGTTGAGACAATGAAACTTGTTTTTACATCAGCCATTTGCAGGTGTTGGTTGGCAGAGGTTCAGCTGGTCTGGATTTAATTAGAACCACAGAAATGAAGACTTCTCTGCCATAATATTAAGCTTCAGTGTTAATTTTTTTAAATTTACCTTTAAAGTAGCCTAAAAATTAGGTTGAGATGTTATTATTTTGATGCTCATGTGGAGTTCACACTGACACTTGTGGAAGTTCACTACTTTGTGAACTAAAGAGAGTTCTTTACATTTGAAGAGATGGAATTTGTGAATAATGCAAAAATAGATACTTACTGAAGGGGGTCAAAACTTAGTTAAAACCAGAATGCACTTGAACCAGGCCTAGAGTAGAGAAGCAGGAAGTCTCATGTGGAGAAAATAGCCAGGGTGACTGGATTTACCAAGAAAAAAGAGTAAGTTTTGTAGCAGGAGGACACTCACATGTTATGGTAAAGATTCTGAGGGAATTGCATCTTTCTAATTGCAGAGAGGATCTTAAAAAACACTTGTTACAGTACTATAGATTTTTCTATCTGCGACTTTTATTTTGCATTTCTCTTTTACTCCTTTCCACTTAAGGAGAAGACATTGACACACACAAAATATGCATGGACAAACTCCATTTTAATACTTTTTTTATTGTAGTACTATCATTTACTTTGGTAAATTCGTATCCCTGTTTAAAGTGCCTTAAAGCAATTAAAACTTAGTTTAAATTCAAGTATTGTAAAACGTACAGAGTCTAAGCACAAAAAAAAAGCTGCATAGTGAAATTACTGGAGCAGGCTGATACATTCAGGATGCCAAGTACTCAAGTGGTAACATCAGCTCATGATTCAGGTTAAGGATAATTAGCGAGTTTGATACAGTACAGACAGGACGGGGCAATATCGATGCATTGTTCTTGCCATGAACAAAGGACAGAAGCATAAATTAACTCTGAAAGAATCTGCAATATCACTTTTGTACACATGCCATTAGTAATAAGGCAGATACTGACACTGAAATCAATCCTTTACATGCTGCTGTAATCCAGCAAATCCTGTGCGTGGGTTTTCCAGACTCTGAGCCCCAGCAATCCCTGTGTTCCAGTGGGAGCTGTGACATCCATCCTCTTCAGAATCCTCACAAACAATCATTCTTGTCTTCATACAATCTTGTTTTAGTCTTTGTTTGAAATTTGTCCCGTAAGGTTTTAAAGAAGGATGGCTGTTCCTCTGTGTACCGGTGCAGGGTTTCTGTTGGGGCTTGTGTTTGCCCACAGAAAGTTTGGGTAGGAGTGGGGAGTACTTAAGGGGTCTGGTTGAATTGTACTTTGAAATTGTAGCCCTTATTTTGCCCAGTTAATTTGAAGTAGTAACAGTTGTACCCTGGTGTAACAGTGACTAGTCACATGGACTAGATCAACAGCATCACTTGCCTGTAGTGTTTGTCAGAAGAGGAATTTGTTGAAGATATTTTAATGCACATTGTTATAATAAACAAAATTAGTGGAATACCAGCACTCAAATGGTTGTTTGACTCCTCCCATTTGAGCAATTAGCGAGTAATTTCATTTGCCTTGGCTTAGAGACTTGTAGTAAAGGTGTGTGGGGACACATAAGAAAATGATTTTTCAAGGGAAATTACTGCTTCAAAATCTGTTGAAAAATAATAGCTAAAATGTTACTGGGTTGTAACAACACTTTTAAAATGGATGTGTAAGGATGTAGAGGAAAGACATTTTTGCTCAGTCGTTGCCTGAAAAAAAGGAATTTAAAAATACTAGCCACTTTTAAAAGAAAACTCTTCGTTAATAGTTCATGTATTTTAAGAGTATTTTTGTATGTAATTTTTTGCTGTTAGAAAGTATTATTTTAAAATATATTTCTAGAAGTATGACTGTGATATAAATTATTGCAAGGATTCACCAGTCATTATATGAATGGAATATTGAATAATTAAGAGAAGCAAATAAGCATTTCTCAGTTTTGGAAAGAGAAAACAAGTTCTCTTTTACAAAGGCAGAATATGTCAAACTATATAAAGTTCTAGTTTAATTTTTGTAGTATTTGGTGAAATTCTACAAAACAACAACAATGAGAAAACGAAAGGGGTGCACCCAGAGTATAAAACCAGTAAAAGTTGGGTTTCTTGGATTTGGAACCCACTTGCTCTTCACCCTTTCTTTTAAAGGATTTCTATGGTTTTATTGTATTGATCCAAGTGCTTGGTGAAATGTTGTGGTTGTAGCAGACAGCAGCCAAGGGAGTCCATCTAGAGTTTATTTCCGTTGTGGATGCACTTTGAGGGAATTGGCTGAGGTTAAGGTTTGATGGATGGGATGCTGCAGGATCTCCTCATCACCAGCCTGACTTCAATGTCGGGGAGGGTTTTCTTTTTCGTGTGCAAACACCCGTCCTCTGTGGCTGCCAGGTGGAGATCAAAACGCAAGGAAACGGATTTTTTCCTTAAGCGAGGGTTGTCCTTAAAGAAAGAACCTTCCCATTCCTTAATAACTTCATCCACTTTTTCTGTCCTGAAACAATAAAGAAAATGTATTTATGATTTTTTAGGCTATGTAAGTTATCTATCTTTGGAACTGCTTTTAGAACAGAGAGAGAAATGGCATCATAAAGAGCTGAATTATTTTATATGGCACTGAGATACCAGAGGTGTCTTTTTTTTACAGGTTCGTTCTCCAGAGAAGCTAAATAAAGGGTCAGGGTTCATTATGTTCTTGTTTTTGTACTTTTAGGTCGACATGGCTACAAACCACTGCTCCAAATATGTTAGGCAGTTTGTTTCCAAGGAGAGAGTTTGGAATCCAAGCTCAAAAATTTTGCAAGAAACCTCAGTACTGTGGTGGGCAGGACAGAATTCCTGCATCTGAAAACCTTCAGAATAGGGAGGAGAAAATCTAGTTTAGACTCAAACCTCAGAATGTGGAGCTATATTACATTAAAGAGAAAAATGGACAGAAATAAAATAGGGAGAACTGAAAAGCCAGCTGATCCAGGAATATTGAGGCAAACAAGTCCTGTTGATTCAATTCTCTATGTGTGTGTCAGAATTCAGATCTGAAAGTCAGGCTCTGGGGCCTCACCCAGCTGAGAGCACTGCACCTGGCAGAGAGGCTCCGTGCAGATCTGTGTGTGATGAGCAAAACCCGTGCACAAAAATAAAGTGTTAGGAATGACCCACTGCAGTGTGTTTAAAGGTAACATTAAATTAGTCTACAAAAAAGCTTAAAGAGCAGCAGGAAAAAGAAATAAAATGGGGCAATCCAATATTATTAAAGTAATTTCAAGTGAATAACTCATCCTAACAGACTTTCACATGCCTACTTGGGAGTCAGGCTCTCCCTCCCCTGTGTGGGGAAACGTAGGAGTTTCCAAGGAGCAAGTTGGAGCAGCTGAGCCTGAATTTATGTGCATAAATATGCCCCAGAGGGACTTCCCAAATGTGGTCTGGGCTCTTTGCTTTCAGCCTTTGCAAGATGAATTATTCATAGTTTCATTCTTAACAGAAATAGAAATTACAAATCAGAAGCACCAGAATGGTATTGTTTGCTTATGAAGCCAATGCTAATAAAAAGAACTTTTAAATGTATTGTATTGTTAAACACTGCCATTCAGTGCACCTTCAGGAGCTCTCACTGTGCTCCTGAAGCTCCTGGGCTATGTGGGCACGATATAACAGATACCAAATAACGGAAAATTCAAAGCTACTGAAATGTAACCTCCACCCTTTACTTCCAATTCTTATTTTGTGAAATTCCTGTTTATCTTACTGTACAGTGCCATGAGCTTCAGCACTTTCCTTCATGATGTTTCCATCTAGGATTGCTTGTTTTGTCATCAGTTCCACCTTCTTTGGTTTGTGCTTCTTTGCACCCTCTGTAAAAGAATATGCAGGTGTACAGTGAGCATGCAGAAGGGCAAGGGCAGTATGCGAGACCTGGAGGTATTTCCCATACATTGGAAAACGTCCTTTTTTAATATTCAGGGATTTGTCAGCACTTGTGAACAGTTAGGGCCAAAATCCCTTAAGGAGGAGGTGCCTGAAACTCACCTGAAGGCAGCGTAAAGGTGATCTTGCTAGTACTGGGCTTTTTGTCATCCTTCTGGGCAGGTATCGAGCAACGGAACCTGCAAAAAAAAAAAAAGTTACAGGCATCTAATAGTATTGAAGTACTTTAATACTTAACTTGTCATATGAACAAGTTTGAGAAATTAAAAAATGTGAGAATCACGAGAAGTTCTATTTGATCATGGTAACTGTTTGTTGGGATTTCTCATTCTGAGCCCAGAACTGGAGGAAGTTACTGACAATATCTGTGCAGTTCCTGCAGGGATCTGTCGTGGTCTGAGACATGGACTCCCTGCCCAGCACTTCACGTGTGTGGACTGGCCCTGGGTGCTCTGAGACCTGGGGCCACAGGACCCACAGTGACGCACAGAGACCCACAGTGACCCACAGTGACCCACAGTGACCCACAGTGACCCATTGAGCGCCAGGAACTCCGCAGTCAGTGAAGCTACCGTACAGTGAAACCTTTTCTAAGATTTTATACTGTAATTTTTAAATGCTTAGCTCATGTATTTACAATTCTGATTGAGACCTTCAGAAATGGAAGACAAATTTGAGATCTTTTTCTCTAAGCAGCGAGTACCTGCTCTCTTCTTGCTCCAGCAGGCTGCGATATGTCGCTATCTCCTCCTCCAGCTTCATCCTCGTGTTCAGGAGAATTTCGTGCTCTCGAAGCTGTTTCTCAATTCCCCTTCTCACTTCCAACAACTCTTTCTCCAAGCATTCAATCTCACCTTCCAAATTTTGTAGCTGCATGTGGTACTGCTGCTCCGTGGCCCGCAGTGAACGTTCCAAACCCTTTTCCTGTGAAATTTAAGGAATTAAATTTCACATTTTAAAATTTGTGAATTTTAACATATTTTAGGATTTGGAAAGGTTGTGTGTAAAGATGTTACATGCATACATATTTTAATTAACAAACTGTGTATTTTTACATCAGTTCTTGTAAGATTATTCTTTAAGAACAGGAGTAAAGCTTTCAAGGTAATACATTGGCTGAGAAATTTTCCAATAAAATATGTGAATTCGAGATCACATGAAAGTCTAGCCACATCTTGCACAGCAATCCACTGCCTTGAGTTTACAGATCTCTGATTTTACAGTTAAACAGTGTCCAGGTCAGTGCTGTATGAAGTGTCTGTGTGCTCTTGGAGCTTGTCTGTACTGCTGAATTGAGCAAATGGCTGACATATTATCACAAAAGAATTGATGAATCTGGTCCACACATTAAAAACAGGTCATAAACATGCTGTGAATGGGTAAGGCAAAATGGACCAGGAGCTTGGTGGGGGAGCATCATGCAAATATGTGCTTGGGAGGTGTGAAAACAGGACACCACATGTGTCTGGAGTGGCAGATCCTGCTCCAGAGCGTGTGCTGGGTCAGTGTGTGCGAGCGAAGGCTCTGTGAGGAGCTGGAGCTTCCCAAAACTGAGCCTTCCTGTGCTGGATTTCTGCTGTGTGGTGGCTGTGACTGTCACAGAACTTGACTGTGGGATAGTTTATGTCAAGGGCGAAACTTCTTTTTTCTGTGAGATTTCAAGTTTCGTTTCTGGCTCTTACCACAGCGTGGAGAGACTCGATTTCGATCTGCATGTGGTGCCACTGCCGTCGGGCTTCACACAGTTCTGCTCTGGCTGCCTTTAGTGCTTCTGCATCTTTGTCCATTCTTTTACTTGTACCTTCTTCTGACTACAGGGCATGTACAAAAGATAACAATATTAAAAATATTCAGATAATGATAATAAATTGCCACATAAAGATCTCTGGTTGGAATTTTTGTGAGAGTTGTATAAATGTGTGGAAGCTCACAGTGGAAGCTCACAGGGAGGAATTAATATTTTCTGTACTGTATAGAGGGAAAGGCCTTATCCCACTGTGTTTGATGGGAAGTGGTTGGCCACATCTCTATCCCTGGCACCTTTGTCCTAGAGAAATTCTCATACTAATTACCCAGTTGTAGTGAGGACTTACTCACCTCTGGAGTAAAGGGGCTTAGAGGAGGTGCAGATAGTTCAAGCTTCCAAGTTTGAATAAAGTGCTTGATTTTAATGCATTTTTGATTTCAGGGTTTTGTTTGTTTTTTTTTCCTTTTACCCTGTTAAAAGTAGTTTTATAAAACTGCTCCTGATTATGTGTGAGGTCATTTTAGATTCAGATTTATCTTTGATTTTGATAGTATGTTCCTGCATGTAACTTGCAGAATGATTGTATGGCTTATGGAAGTTATTTTCATTTTTTGATTCTGAGTTTCCCTGCAAGTGGTGAAAATGCCATAAGCCCTTGAAACAGCACTTACACTTTTGCATATTTTACTGCATCATGCAGGTTCTTATGATGATGTTGACTCTTTGAAAAGAATCTCTTTAATTCAGGTCTTATGAACTAAGAAAAAGAAGGAATTTGCTCCCCTGTACATACTGACCTATTGCAACTTTACCAGATGATAATTTTTGTGAAAAATCTAGATTTGTCTCATCCACAAGTGAACCCCCAATGTTCTTTTCTTCCCCTTTCTTGCCTGGGTACTGCAGAATTGGTGTGACAGGATCAAACCAATGTGCATTGGCTGCTTTGTGCCAGCACAAAGATAAACTTGGCTTCCCTGTCGGGTGTGCAGGTGCCGAGTGTCTGGCACTGCTGGTGGATCAGCCAGGCTGCAGCAGCGTCTGGCCTGTCCTTAAAACAAACCTCTGGGATTCCTGCAATACCTGAGTACAAGGTGATAGAATACCTGATTCCCCCTAAATTTCTTTGTACTTGATGGCTCAAAATTGTTTTGCCATTTGATTTCAATTGGGTTTAGAGCTGTTGGTATGTAAATCCCGAACAGCAGCACTGTGTGTTGGTAACATTTAATCAAGCTGTATGAGAGAACAACTGATATTTGCTGAAGAGCAAAACATAGTTTTTACTGTGAGCATAGAAAATAGTTCCTGCAAAGGTACAGTGTACCTTTACTAGAGGGCTAAAAATGGTAAAGATCGCTGTATATAAAAGGATTCTCTTCAGGATTCTTTTTTTCCTCTGAGGTAACTACATGGAGCTAGAGGTTACCCTGTACAGCCTATGTCATCATCCCTTAAATCCCAGCAATATCCCGGCTGCAGGGACAGAAAAGCATTCTGGTGAATTACACAGCATTCGTTCAGCGTGAATCCATACCCTTAACAAAATCTATTTCCGATTCTTCTAGTTCACATCTTACTGCGGTAAAATCCACATCCCTTCCCCGAAAATCTGCTGCATTGAAAGGAATTACTGTACCTCATAGAGGCTGCGGGAGGAACTGTACGGCCAGGGAATGGCTCCGTACTCTGCAAGGTGTGTGGCTGTGAGGAGGCATTACCTGCGTCCTTGCTGAGCTGACGGTCTTTATCTGATTTCGGGTGATGAGCGATTCATACTTTGCCCTGATCTCTCGGCGGAGCCGAGCCGGCTCCATCCTCCTCCTCCTCCTCCTCCCATCCTCCCCGGCTCCTGGCTCGGCTGCCGGCGGCGCGGGGCTGCGGCCGCGGGGCCGTTAAAGAGGCAGCGGCCCATTTCGGGGAGCGCGGGGGGCTCCGAGCCTGCCAGCCCGTCCTGGCAGCAGGCTAAGGCAGCAGAGGATAGCACTAAAATAATTATTCCTAAATTATGTGCCGAAATGAATATATCGATGTCTTCGTGTTTTTGTTACGCTGCAACTGTGGGGTTTTATAACCTCAGAAATGTGAGGGTAAGAGAGAAAGCAAAGGATAAAGCTGCAGCTGCCCAGTATGAGGTGCTCTGGCAAGAGGACATGGAAGGACAGAGTCTCCCAGCAGCATAGCTGGGTTGCTGGCAGTGCTGCTGGCAGGTGCCTCCACCATTGATAGGGGTGTCACAGGATTTCCATCCCTGAAAGTATTTGAGACTCAGTGAGATGAAGTCTCTGGTGTCTGACCTGACCCAGTGTTGAGGATTGTCCCGTTTCAGAAACGAGCTGGGCTCCTGGGCATCCTCTTTTATGGGCAGAAACACACAGGGAGGGAGAGGAACCACCACTACTGGTGGTGAGTAGTGCTGGTGCAACTTGTGGCAAAGGCTTTGGCTCACCTTCTGCAGAGGGCAAAGTTCTGGTGAATGTACACTTCAGACACATGACTGCTGTCAGGAAAAGGGTCTGGCTTGTCTCTGACAGCATTTCAGTACCTGTGCCAGGTGTTGGTGTGCTCAGTACAGACAACACACAATTTATGTGGGGTTCTTACCCCTTTCCTGACACCTCCCAGGCAGGTCCAGCCCAGCTTCTCTGGTGTGCTGTGCTTCTTCATTTCCTGCTCACTGGAGCACTGTGTGATCCCCATGATCTTGTCTGCTAAAAATGGCTCTTACCTATTTCATTTTACCTCTTGCTTATTTAATTTTTTTTTCAGTAGTGCACAATATCAGATATGCAGTAAAAAATTTCCAATTTAGGTAGAAATTTAAAATTTAACAAAGAGAGAAATGCATCTTTGAGGCTCTAAATGAGAGCCTAAAATGAATGATAAAACAGGCAGTAAAACAGAAATGATAGAACAGGCAGTAAACTTTCACAAGACACATATCTTTTTAGAAGTCAAAATATTGTACCACTTAAAAGTCTCCTGGTGTAAAAAGGCTTCCCTGTTCTTGGCTGTGTCTGTTGGCACATGTGAAAGGATGCTGTGTTTGGATTTTATTTTCCTTAGCTGACTGTCTTCCAGTTGACCTGGACTGAGATGGAAAGGTTTTGTTGTCCATTCTCTTTTCTACAAGTGTCTGAATTATCCTTGTTCTGTGTAGTTCTAAACCCAAAATACTGGCAGTGTTTGTCATTGATGGGGTGAGAAGAGTTACATAAGAAAACCGTTAGGAATCCATCAGAGAAACACAAGGTATGGCACTTGGGATGGTATAAACTAATGCTTTCTTTTTCTGTCTTTTTTTTTTCAGGTGTAAAGGGAACATCTGGCTGTGAGATTCCTGAAGGCTAAAGGAAGGTAGGTGTAAGCAATTGCATCTTTCCTAGGATTTATGGAACTTTGAATTCTAGCTGCTTTCAATATTCATATTTTATTGCTGGCTCACCACACAGGTGGAGGGGGTCGTGGAGAATAAACGGACACTAATACCTTAAAGCTTGTTGAGTCCTTTTTATTAGGGATGAAAGCTGGAAAATGAGGTTAGAACAGCAAAATTATTTTATCTATTGATTACTAAAGATTATAAAAAGGCAAATCTGATTAAATGTGTGCTTCATATTTCTGGTTATTGAACAGAGATTTTATGATATTTTTAAAGAACACCGTGGAAATCATACAGTTAATGCTGACAGAGTGAAGCAGGAAATATATTGCATGACTGCAAGGAATGAAGGTGCTGACTTTGTCTTATCTAAAAGATTCTTAGTACAAAGCCAAACGTTTTATCACTTCATACAAAAGAATAAAATTATTTATCCATTTTGGCTTGGAGCAAATGGATCTGTTGCCACATCAGATTGTGCCTCATATCTTCTCTTCAACTTCCTTTACGTGGGATGAAACAACTTTTCCATCTACCACTTCTTCAACAATTGTCTTGATCTTTCTAGTTTTGGTTGGATCTAAACATCATGAACGAAACAAAAAATATTTATCAATGTGTTAAAAATATAAACCAAACCAACACATGACCAGGTACCCCCTTTTCCTTTCCAATTTGGTTCTGATTTTAATGAACTCTATGATGCAGTTAAACAGGATAACATGTATTATTTGATTTGTAAGAATGACCTTAGAAACAAAATTTTATTCAATCAAGTTCTACCTACCTTGAGAAGAGTCCAGTGATTGTGTTTGAGATTTGGACCCTGTCAGGGATGAGCTTTCAAATGTAACTGCCTGTCCAGCGCCCCTGAAAGGGAATCAGAGACATGCACTATTGTGAGATGTTCCATAGGGTCAGGATAAATTCCCTTTTCGTGGTGACATTGATAGATTATTTAAGTAGTGAGCAGAATGGCTCACTCTCCTCAGTCACAGTGATAGTTCAGATCACTGTATGTGCCCTATTGTCACTTGGAGAATGTTCCACTTATTTTACCTCTTTTTTTTCCTGGAAAGGATTTTGCTACAGAAAATAAACCCAAGGAGATATTTTGTGTCAACCAGTTCCTTACACAAATTCTCCATCGAGCAGGCGCCGGTAGGTTTCAATCTCCATTTCCAGACGAGTCTTGATGTCTAGGAGCTGTTGGTACTCTGCGTTCTGGCGCTCCATGTCAGCCCTGACCTGGAAAAGCTGGGACTCCAGGTTCCCGATCTGCATTTGGATTTGTGACAGCTGAGCGCAGTAACCACCTTCTGTTTCTGCTAAAGTGTCTTCCAGGGATTTTTTCTGTGTAAGGATATTAAATAATCTCTGGTTAAAGAAAAAATCTCTTTACAAAACCAAGTGAAATAGTTTAAGGGAGTGAGCACAGCTGTGCTACTTAGAAGGTTTTATTTTCTTTTTGAAAACACCAATTTGAAAACTGTCCCTTGTCACTTCCCTAAATGTGATGTTAAAACTCATCCGCTCTGTGACATGCTCTTTGCAATCCAGTTAGGTATCTTACTGCTACTTAGGAACTAAAATAATATAGGATTTAATCAGAAACAAATGCAAATCCTCAATTCTATGGGATTGGATTAGGTCTAAAAAGACTTTTGAAGTTGCCGAAGTGGCTCTGAGCAGTCCAGCAGCTCCCCAGAACGTACCATGGCCAGCTGAGACTGCAGCTCTATTTCCAGGCTCTGGAGAGTCCGTTTTAAATCTGTGATCTCGCTCTTTCCCGACTGGAGCTGCTCAGTATTGGTGGAAATTTCCCTTTTCAGCTCTCCGCTCTGCAATGACAAGGAAGAATGGTGTGTAATTTTACTGTTCCAAGTATTGAACTCATTTTCTCATGCGTTTTGCTGAATTTGCTCTCTCTGGTTGTTACTTTTTCATTGAACCACGCCTCAGCTTCTTTACGGTTTTGCTCAGCAATGACTTCGTACTGTCCCCTCATGTCATTCAGAAGCTTGGTCAGGTCAGTCCCTGGAGCAGCATCCATTTCCACACTGACTTGGCCAAATTCACTGCTTTGGATGCCCTGAAGCTCCTGGAGAAATTGAAAATAAAGAGAAGGTTCTGTTAATAAATGACAAAATAGTTCTACCAAAACATATGTAAACAAATATATGTCATATTAATTCTGTTTCAACAAGGATCTGTATCTTGTTTCTCACACTCTTTCACTTAGCAAACTCAAAAAATAACAGCAAACAAAACCTAGAATGAACTCCCAGGAACTCCCATTGGCTTAAATAAGGGAGAAATTTGATGTTTCACAATTTCATATGTCTTGTTATTAATTCACAAAGGAAAAAAATAACCTCTTCATGATTCTTCTTGAGATAAGCCAGTTCTTCATTCAGGCTTTCAATCTGCATCTCCAGATCCGCCCTGGTCATGGTCAGCTCATCCAGGACTCTGCGCAGACCATTGATGTCGGCCTCCACACTCTGCCTAAGAGCCACTTCATTCTCATATCTATGCATAAAGGGATTAAATATTATTTTTTACATGGCCAGTGAGGTCAAATGCAAACTATTAATGTGCTTTTTTTTAGCTTTAATAGGAAAAGTTAATACACATGTTTATTATAATATTGTTTAATAATTACATTACAAGTATTCTACAAGGCTAGAGGTTTTTTAATACAAAAGAACTTTTTCCTTAAGGTATTAGCAGTAGTTTTTGTAGCATTAGGATAGCCTTACTTCAGTCTGAAGTCATCAGCAGCCAGTCTGGCATTATCGACCTGCAGAATGATCCTTGCGTTGTCGATGGTTGCACTGATGATCTAGAGCACAAAGAGTATTCAGAGAATGATGTTACTGCCCAAAGGCTTCATGGCTTCATAATGGCTTTAAACTTTGTGTTCTACAAGGGTTTGTAGAACAGCATTCCATCACTGCCTTCTCCTTTATTCAGATTCGACAAATCACTGTGTGACACAGCTACAGAACTGCTTTAATGTACAGGAAAACTTCAGCACATCACCAGTGCAAGGTGACAGAGGTCACTGCAAGTTTCAGTACCAAAGGATAAATATGCTCTTGGTTTCCAAAAGGAATTTGTTATTTTAATTCATGCTACTAAGTGAGTTACAAATGTAAAGATATATTAAATACATTGCTTTACTACCTTGTTTCGAAGATCTTCAATGAGGGGGTAGAATTTACTGTAGTCGTTCCCAGATCCAGGGGTGCCAGTTCCAGGGCCATTTTTCTCATACCAGTCACGGATTCTGGACTCCAGCTCAGTGTTGGCCTCCTCCAGAGATCTCACTTTGTCCAGATATGCAGCCAGACGGTCATTGAGGTTCTGCATAGTTTCCTTTTTTGAGCCACAGAGAAGGCCCCCATCGCCAGCACCAGCAGGGCCAAACCCACCTCCAAAACCAGTCCCTAAGCC